TTATTAATTTTATTTCTAGTATTTTAGATTGCACTGATTGTTTTCCCCATTGCTTCACTGGTGGATCCATTCCTTTGTTTGGTCACATGACGGTCACATGCTCTTCCTTACATAACAACAATAGTAACAGTTTATTTTTAATATTCAGACACCATTTATGCAATATAATCAGCTCTACCGGCAACAGTAAGTTTTTAACATGTAAATGAAATTTATTATTATTATTATTGTATTATCATATTATTATTATTATTATTATTATTATTATTATTGTATTATCATATTATTATTATTATTATTATTATTATTATTATTATTATTAGGTGTATCTTTAAAGTATTGTTGTGAGTTTCTTCATTTCATTGTTACCTACATCTCTCGCTTGTCTTTAATGACACACACTGCAACACTTGATGGCATCATCACTAACCTGACCAATACAATCCAGTTGTTAGAGTCATGTGACCAATTGAACGGAGGCGGGATACATGTATTATTACATGTTTATTGGACAATGGTATCACTACTATACACAGCAGTTATTATCCTTGGTTAGGTTGTGTGTGCTAGGATCAATATTGTATCATGTGCTGTTTATGTTTTTCTACATAATGTACATTACATGTACATGTATGCATGTGCTTTCTTATTTATTTAATTCCAATTAATGCCCTTTCTTCAGTTTGTACTATGTGTACATGCATGTATTGTGTTTGTGAAGTGTCATGGTACTACAGTTTAAGATATCCCCTCATGTTTGAGTTATCTGCATCTTGCTAGAACAGGAGGAGCACCTTGTCTTATGAATAGCATCCTTTCTCCTACACATAACAGTTGTGATATTGTTAGCATACACTGTATGTTATCCGCCTAATATATTTGTTGGGTATTGTTTATTGTTTTTGTTGTTTGTTGTGTAGGTGATAAATATGTCTCCATGTTCAATGAAGAATGTAATAGAATTATCAAGTACTTACTAAAGCAAAGGGAAGATGCCTTTGATACTGTTAGTGCTTCATCAAATGATTAAAGCACCATTACATTTCTTGTTGCTCATGTCTAATTATAGTTTATGTGCATGTACATACATTGTAAGTATATATTTACATGTACATGTACATGTACATAGCAAAAATTAGCAAAGCTTTTGGGCCACAAAGATTCCACAAATGAATAGGTATATAATACCGTATATGGCATATATTTCGCGGGTATAAAATTTAGTGATTTGACTGCATTTTTTTATTCACAAATAAAAAATTTCGCGATTTAATGTAATTACCACACCTACTATAGAATCAGCACGCTATTTTGCGAATTTTAATTTCGCGAATTTTTCCAAAACGCGAAAATCGTGAAAATTAATCCCCGCGAAATATATGCCGTATACAGTACTTTAATTCTTAATAAAGTAATTAATGTTCTTTATGATTATATTCAGTATACCATAGTTACTCCAGTTTTGCTCTATAGGCCAGTGTATTCAAGAATGGTGTACCATCATTATTCCCTTGTTCTTGTTTCCTGGAGGTGTGGTTACTACTTGCCAAGGCAACAGATTGGACTTCCAGCACCAACAGAACTCCAGTTAGTATGTACATGTACATGTATTATATACCATCCGTAGCATTTACCAGACATGGTTAATTATAAATTAATTACTTTAATTACTACTGCTATTACTAGAATTGCTAGTCTCGCCGGGCCAGCCCCTTCCTTTAGGGGAAGGGTCTGGAGACAAACCAAGCAAAGTTGTTGCATGCTGGAATGTAATTAGTGCAGCTGATCATATGACCGGATGCATCCACGTGTTAATTTCACGTGATAGACACACCCCAAGAACATGGCTACCAGAAGTATGAAGAAGGAATCATAGCTAAAACTCATTTCAAATCAGTTTTTATCATTAATTTATTTTGTTTTTCTTCATTCATCCTCTACTTATTAAATGCATTTTGCTATCAGATCAAAACAGTATGTTTAATAATGCAAAATTGACTAAAATTGTATAATAATATAATGATAGTAATAAGAATGCTACAAAGGCCATGGCTGTTAGCGACATCATTTGCAGATGAGGTAGTAGTTCTTCATCTTCCATAAAAGTATGTACCCCTATAGCACTACAGATAATTACTGATTAGACAACAATCATAAGTTAAGTGAACTGACCATTTCTTAACTCATTGCTCATCAATAGGTAAGCTCACTAGCTTTAGTCATTGACCAGAGGACCAAGGAAGAGTTTTTCTGT